AAGAATCTTACAAATGCAGCAAAGAAGATTGAAGCTTTTCATTTAAGACATCCATCGAAATCAAGATAAAAAATATCAAATCTTTGCTATAAAAGAAATAAGATTAAAAGAAGATAACACTCTTCCTTTTATCCTTCTTTGTAGCGTTTGTAGTTAAAGAGATAGAGAACCAACAACTAATCGATTCAACTGAAGAGCTTTCATTTGCGGACTTACACGACGAGGCATTGTGATTGTCATAAGCTTTAAGATGATAAAATTGAGATGAAGATCCCAAAGAATGACATGTCTTTCTTTGAATAAATAGTAAGATACAATGTGTTTGATATCATGACCTTCGAAGAGACTCTTGATGTTTGATGATTTTATTAGAGATAGGAATAATATCTAATGGTATTCTAAATATTTTATTTGAAAGAAGTTACAAAAGCCTCAACAATGACCAAATAATAGGATGGACTTCTCGCCCTAATATGAAACACTATTGATGGTTGAGAGGGCATATCAACCATCTTGAAAGAAAACAAAGATCAAAGTATGTAGCAAATATAATTCTTTGCATCTTGGATTTTTTCAACATATGAAGATTGCTCATCATAGAATTCGTCTCTAAAAGGAGAGATAATATCACGGACATATATAGGTATTCTAGTAAATACCTATGTGATTAGATTGGAAGAGATAAAAATAGATAAAAGTAGGTTAATTTTATAAGATGTTTTTAAGAAGCTTCTTAAAAGCTTCATAGATATTGCTTGACTTTACATGTATTTACAGTTGATTGATAGATTAGAAACTTGGTCAACAAGTTAATCACATATTGGTAGTTTGTGGAATAAACTAATTATGTGGCGCACGTATAGAAAACTTATCTTGCAAGTTAAAATACATGTCTTGCAAAGTCAACATGTTTTGGAGGTCTTATAGGACATTGTCACGTAACTCCTAGTTAAAAGTATACATGGAGGCAAGAGTAAAGCCTTCTTCACTATTGTCAATGCTTTTCTAGTTTTGAGTCTTATTTCAAGACTTTCTAGTCTTCTTATTTTTGGCAATAGCTATTCTAGTTCAATATTAATTTTGGGTGATGCTTTGTACTACAATCCTCAATACACTCTTGTAATAACTTCTTGTTTTTGGCAATAGCTATTCTAGTTCAATATTAACTTTGGGTGATGCCTTATACTACAATCCTCAATACTCTCTTGTAGTAACTTCTTTTTTTTGGCAATAGCCTTTTTAGTTCAATATTTACTACTTCAATATTAACTTTGGGTTCCAGTAATACAAGAGTGTATTGAGGATTTTCTTTCTTCAAGATTCATGTCCTTGACAACAAGTTTAGTTTTCTTGACTATTGATATGTCTTATCTATAAAAAAAATCTTTATCTATAAAACAAGCTTAGGCTCCTAAATCTAACAAAGCTAAGACTTTGTAATTTTTTGGTCTTAAATAAAATTTTATTATGAAACAAAGTAAAGAATATGAAGAAAAAAAAAAATAGGACCTTTATTAAGTATCACATAAGATTTCAACCACATAGTCTCTATTATAATACAATTTTTTTTTTTTTTGATACATCATTCTCTTTAGCAACCATGCTCCTTATTTTATAATTGCATTGCTTCTTTGAAAAATACTAAATAATAAGCTTTGATTCTCCATAATATGGGCACAAATCTTCTTGACAACTATGAGTCTTTTTTTTTTAATAAGAGATTTAAAACATATTGTATCAATTTTCATAGGCTTTGGTCAAGATGAGTGAGCTTCTAAAAACTTTGAAGGTGTTGCCATGGCTTGACTTATATCTTTTCAACCAAATCTTTGTTTTTAGTATCTTTCAAAGAATTGATTGTCTCATGCAATGGCTCAAGTAATAAATTACTTCAATGAATATGCTCTCAATATTGTTGACAATAAATCTTTGATATTATCTTTTAACTCATATCAAAATTAATTGATAAGGGCTTTGTCATTCCAATTGATATTGCAAGCAAGATTTTGGAATTTAATAGCATACATAGTAGTTGAATATGATTCTTGTCTTAGAAATACAAGCTTGATCTCTGCTACTTTTTTTTTTTATCACTTTTTCTAAATGTGGCTATAAATACCTCCAAAAATGAATTCCAATCATAGAATAGCTGTGAATCTTTTTCTATCAAAGATAAAAATAAAAAAAGAACATTGCTAGAAAGAAATGATGCTATGAAGTTAATTTGAATAAATCCATCAAGATATTGAAAATGATGCAATCTTAGATAGAACTCTATTTGTTATAAAAACCCTCAAAATTTTGATCTTGTTCCATCAAACTTCTCTAACATACTTATCATTGCCTCTCTTATATTTGTAATAGCAAGGCTCTTTAAATTCAATTGTGAGCTTGATCAACTTACTTTGCATATTTGTATAACTTCTTTGTGCAAATTTTGAACTTCATTATTGATTTCTTCCATAGGTATAAGAATAGTACCTCTATGCTTCACATTAAAAATATAAGAGATTTTATCCTACAAGTATTAATAAGCTTATAAAGATTTGCAATAATTGTAATTTTTTTTTTTTAGCAAGAGTAGCATCTATAATTTTTTTTTGCATAGACAACTTCAACAAATTCAAAAAGTTAAAATAAAAGAAGGCAATCCACAATCTCTAATATCAAATGAAAATTTCTACAAAGAAGAATAATTACTCTCTTTAAAGAAAAAATCAATGTTAGAAAATTAAATTATTTGTTTAAAGGTGGATAATTTGCAATCTTCAAATAGAAATAGAATAATGCACTCATTTTTAAAATAAAATAAGAGCAATAAATTATCACTCTTATCAAATTGTGAAGGATATGAATCTTGAAGAAAGAAATCGTCAATATATTCTTGTGTCATTGAAAAAGACTAAAAAATTACTCAAAGATGGTAATTTGTTGAAATAGAATGGTTATTGCCAAAGACAAGAAGACTAAAAAGTCTTGAAACAAGACTAAAGATTAAAAAGGCATTGACAAGAGTGAAGAAGGCTTCACTCTTGTGTCCATATATACTTTCTAACTAGGAGCTACATGGCAATATTCTATAGGACCTCCAACATATGTTGACTTTGCAAGATACATACCTGAACTTGTAAGACAAGTTATTTATATATACGCCACATAATTAGTTTTTTTTACAAGCTATTAATATGAGTATTATGTGATTAACTTGCTGACCAAGTTTCTAGCTTTTTAAGTAATTACAAACATGTATAAAGTCAAAACAATGTCTATGAAGCTCCTATGAAGCTTTTTTAGAAGATGTTATGAAATTAATTTATATTAATCTATTTCTATTTAATTATATAAATGATTATTAGAGTAAATATATATGTCTGTGACATTGTGATAATACAAATTCAAGTCACACATTATTAGTTAGAAATTCATGCTTCTTCTTTGTGACTACAAAATATTATAATTTTTTTATATTCATTAAAATGTTTCTAAATCCAAAAATTAAATTTTATATTTTGGAAATTTATTTTTATAAATTTAATTATAAATAGATAAAATTTAAAAATAAAAATATTTGAATAAGTCGTCCATTATTTAGTAGTCATGTACACATGAAAATAATAAACTTGAAAAGTATTAACTTCTTACAAAAAACTTGTTTTATTAAAAAATAAATAAATAAATGATTCAATGCCAAATTATTAATAATAATAATCTTCTTCAAATTTTTTTGATGTTGATTTTAATATATTATTTAAAGAATTATAATATAATCTTTTTAGGATTTAAATTATATGTATATATATATATATATATATATATATACATATAATTATAGATGGGTGAAGTGGAGATATGGGCAAGGTGGGAACAAAGATAGAAATGAGGTGGGATTAGGATTGGAAGTAGAATTGGAATAGGATAGAGATTAAAAGTGGGAACACGGGATGGAAATAGGGTTGGAAACAAGGGACATGTACAAAATGGATTATGAGGTAAGAAGAAGGTGGGGCTTTAATAACTTTTTATATATAGATATTATTGTTATTTACTAATTTATTTATAAAATTATAGATTTATTAAAAGTTAACTTATATTTTATTTCAAAGAATAAAAATTATTAAATTTTTAAATTTTTAATTTTTTTTAATTTTTTTTAATTTTTTTTACTTTAAATTCTATTTAATTTTTAAAATTTTGTTCTAAAATTTATTTTTAATTTTCAAGGCCCCTAGAATTATATCAACAAATTAATGATTATGTAGTATTTAATTAATAAAGATGTAGTATATTGAAGTTGTGCATTAAATCAAATATACTTAATTTTAAAATAAACTTTTAGACATAGCATATTATTTTGTTTAATTCTAAGTGATATTTTCATCAACAATACATGATAAACTTCATCACTTTTATCTTTTTTACATATTAAAATTTTTTCTCAAGAAATAAAGAAATTTAAAAAGTTATATATATATATATATATATATATATATTTATATCAATTTGAAAATATAATCCTTCACATGGAGTGTATGACTTTTAATCCCACTTTCAATCACTCTTCTCCAAAAACTTATAATGAGATTTCCCTCTCCATCCACAAACTAGGATTTTGAAATAATAATTCTTTTATTTAGGCACTCCCTTATTGACCACACAATTCTCCGTTCAAATCTCACCCACCCATTCTTATCCTCCAATGCCCTCCCATCACACCCATCTCTCTCTCTCTCTCTTCACAACAACAAACTCACTGAAAAAAGCTTAGAAGTCATCGACCCCTTCTCTAAAACCAACCACACACCCTTCCACATGGACAAACAACAACCACAACAACAACGTTAATAAATACAAATAAGAAACAGCAAAATGTAAGTCAGAAAATGAAGGTTGGACCGAGAGACGAAAAGCGAAACTCTCGCCAAGCACAAAAAATAAAGGAGCCCAATCAAACTCTAAAATAGGCTAGAATAGAAGCTTCGAGCGAAGGGAGAGAGAGACTTCGGAAGGAGCGAAGGGGCTTTTGAGAGAGTGAGTGAGTTGTAGTGAGTGAGTGAGTGAGTGAGTGAGTTGTAGTCAGTGAGTGAGTGAGTTGTAGTCAGTGAGTGAGTGAGTGAGTGAGTGAGTCAATCAGTCAGTCAGCGCCGCCATGGCCGGGATGCGGCGACAACTGATTCATATTCCAGGGAGAGGGAGAGAGAGATGAAGAGATCCTATTCTTCATTTATGGATTCATGGATTTGCATGGGCGGTAATCTGCCCACCCGACCGACCGAGAGCTGCATCTATATCGCATCTCATCTACTCTCATCCTCTTCGTCGTCGTCCTCTTCTGGCGGCTCGTCCATCGCAGCAGCTTCTCGGAGTACTTCGTGTGAAGTGCGGGATCCGGGATTTTGTCCACTTTTCCCTTAACCTTGCAAGCAAAGAAAGCATAACTTACTGCCCAACTGCATTTTATGGCCATGGCGACACACTCCCCGACCCTCACTGTCGCTGTGTTGACGACTCACGGAATCACTAAAGCCCCAATTGCATGTCACGACGTGTTTGCTTGCACTCGCTGCTGCTGCTTCTCCTCAGTTTGTCCTCCCTGGGTTTTTGTGGGTTTCTGGGTTTCTTCATGCCTGGGAGATGATGATGTTGTTGTTGTTGCGTGGATGGGATTGTGTTGGGTGTTGAGACTTGCCGAGTTGCATACTCTTTCTTTGCCTACCATGGCTGAAGAGAGGGAGTGATTGCGTTATGGAGCATTGGGTGGGTGGGTTGGTGATGCGCCGTTGGGGGAGTGACGGCCACGCTGCGACGGTGATGCCTGTGTGGTGAGGTTTTGGCAATGAAGGACGTTCTCCCTCGTTGGCGTGTGGTTGAACGGTATTTGCTCCCGTGGCCTGTCTGCCCAGTTGCTTGAAGATTGGTTTTGGGATTGTCGACGGGTTTTGGTACTCGATTGTTGTTGAGCATGTGGCCAGTGCAAGGAGCGTGGGATGGATTAGTTTTGCTGTTGCGGGTTTCTTTTCTTTTTTTTTCTTTTTTTTCTTTTTTTTTTTTTTGACGAGTGAGGAGGAGTGTTGAAAAGTAATGGGAAGGACGTTCTGCGATTTTGGGGTTGGGGTTGCTGTCACCAAGAGCGAAACCTAGTGTTGAGAGCGGTGAGCGCTGTGAAAGACTTGGAGTGTGATCCTTGTGCCCTTTGCACAGCCATGCCTTCTTGAGAGAACTGCAGGCTAAGTTTATTTTGAGGTGGAGGGACTTGTGTCTCTTGAACAAGAGTAACTAGAGTGCGTGAAATGTTCCGCCACCTAGTTCTTATGCTTCTGCTTAGGATTGTTCCCTGTTGTGTTAATACTTTCATGTAGGCTTAATGATTTTATGCACTTCGGGGCAGCTGAGCACGGGTGGAATGATTTTGAGCAAGTCGGCTTCACATTGAATCTGCTGTGAAATAAAGAAAGAAAGAAGAAGAAAAAAAAAAAAAAATGTTTAGAGTGGAAAGATTTGGTTTGGAATTCATTTGAGGATCTAGTTCGGTTTGTCCCTCTGTCGTGTTTCATACTTAATGCGTAAGTCGAGGGCTTGCTGGGAATGTAAGAGGGTCGCACGAATTTGAATCTTGGAGTATGAAATACGGTCTTACGTATTTCGGGATTTAAAAGAGGAGTAAGAATCAGACAAAGAATTGATTAGGGCTGTTTCAAGTGAATACATGTGCAGGATCCAACTTCCCGACGTGCTATTGGGAACTTGGGGGATTTTGGCGCCTCGACTTAAAATGTTACTGGTTCCAACTCATAAGATCTAATGGTTGATTGAAGGGCTCTCCAAGCAGATAGTAGGGAGAGATGAAGGAATTATACAACTGAGAAGGCTCGGTTATCGCTCTTCTTGGGCTGGTCGTGAAATGGAGGCAGACGTTGTGAGAATTTGTCCATTATGATCGAGCTGGAGAAGGAGTGGTCATTTTTCTCAGAGGTAGACCCTTGTAGTCGCAGACGGATTTGCAGAGATTTCTCTTCCAAGCTGTCACATGGCACTATCTCTCACTTTCACACAGAAGTCGTGCAATGCTAGGTCACTGAAGGATCAGGAACAACGAGGTACGTATAGAGCTAGTGGTGTCAAACACTGGAGCTCCGCATAAATGCAAGACTTCAGTAGGAATTGGCACATGCCCGAGCGTACTTCACCTACTTGATCTTTTGTAGGGTTTCCTAGCACATATTCAGATAACTTGTTTATTCGTGAGTCAAATTCTAGGTCGAAGCTGCCCGTTGCCCTACATTATGATTCATTGTTCAGCTGTGAGAAAATCTCTTCCGAAGGTTTGTTTCTCTTTCATGAGCAAGATCTTACGAATTCTGACCTTGTCTTATCCTACGCGATCGACTTGAGTGCTACTCAAAATGAAGCTGCACGTGCACGTATTAGAGGCTCGGAACCTAGCAGCTCGAGATCAAAATGGTCTGAGCGATCCTTTTGTACGCCTGCAACTAGGCAACACAAAGACAAAATCAGCTGTAATTCTGAAGAATCTGAATCCGGTATGGCACGAAGAGTTTTTTTTCAGCGTAGTAGGCTCTGATGAGGAGCTGCTTGTCACGGTTTGGGACGAAGACCGGTTTTTAAATGACTTCTTAGGTCAGGTAAAAATTCCTGTTAGTGAGATTTTGACAGCCGAGAAGCAAACCATCACCAGAAAGTGGTATACCCTCCAAAAGCGCAGTGAGAAATCCAAAATTCTAATTACAGGTGAGTGCTGCAATTTCTTGACCTGGTTTATTCCGCACCGGTGTTTCGGTGAGAAAGCTGTCATGTTTCACAATGCAGACGTTTGTACATTGCTTTCGAAGGACCTTTCACGCTCAATTAGTAACACACCAGCATTCACTTCAGCATGTGGGCTCATGATGTGAGCTAAACATTATTGCGTATTCTCAGTGCTTGGAGGTAGTCATCTGAGTAAACTCCTATGCTAAGTTTAACAGAAAACTGAAACAAGCAAACCTTGCGTTGTCTGATCATAGCACAAGTCATTAATTTCGTTTACTACATGATCAATTATGTTGGGGTAAGGAACAGAACGCTTGCCTATTCGCTTTTTAGAAATCAGTAATTAGTTACGTTTGGTCGATGATAAGATAGCCTTTTACGTACTCAGTTATCAGCATGTAGTTTAAGTTCGTGTTTGTAAAAAATGGTCTAAATCGCATATATGAAAGTATATTGACAATGGTTTCTCGCACAACAGGTGAGATATTACTCAGTCTCTCTTTATTCGGAAGGGATTCAGCAACTGGCCGAAGACCTCAACGATTTGTTTCAGAGGAAAGGCACTCAGTGTCTGAAGATGGCACTTACACGCTTTCTCCAACAAGTTCCATCGATATGAATGACTGTTTGACGGATACATCTGGTCTTGTAGATGTTCCCGGTTCTCCAAGCTTGAGGGTATGATAATGAGCACCGAAATCTACCAGATTTGCGAAGGAACTTACCGATCATCTGTTACATACTTACTACGTCCGCGTTGTCTGTTTTCAAGTTGCACTCAATTTTTCAGATTCTTCTTTTGTAGCCAGGGTTTAAGTTATAATTTAGGATGTAGGGACTGGTTGGTCGTGATTATTAAAGAAGCTTAATCATGCTTGTTTGCGTCTGATGGGGTTTGCAGTGCATTTTAGAAGTTTGGTTGGCTCATTTGTGGAGGGCTTGTTGTAGCTCCTATCTCTTTCATTTTGGTTACTTCTCGAATACTGAAGATGTGAATCAACGCAGGCAACTTGGCCTGGGGCTGCTCAATGGAACCATGATGAAGTCCTGTCAAAAGAGCAGAATAAGGTTCCCAAGTCTTTAGCAGACAGGTTCACTGCCGTTTTCAATAAGAAATGCAAAACAGGGATGGACGGGGCCTCAAAACATGGTGTGGAAGGATCAACCTCGTCTACTCCAAAATTCAGTGACAGGTTGGTCCGTCAATTCTCGAAATGAGTTGGTTGTAGCTTGGTCGAGGAGAATGTTGAAAATATGATAATTATTAGATTACATCTAGATATCCAAATCCAAGTAGTCCAATTTTTTTTCAAAATATGAATGTGGTCTTCAATAGGTTTTCAATGTAATATTCCTTATGGGGAAGAAATTCTGGGTCAGGTGCTGGGAGGAACTTTTGGAGTTCTGGAAAGAGTTTGGTTGTCTTCCAATACGAGCTTACATTTATATTCTCTCACGAACTGAAGTGAGATCCTGTTTCACAAACCTCGGACTCAAGCTGTGGTTGATGGTGCTCGTAATTTTGCAGTGCTCATGTAGAAAGTCCCGACAGATTTCCAGAAGTTGCTGAAGACTGTAGCGACGATGAGATTGACACATTGGCCTCATCGTTTTTTGACGATGATGGCAAGAGTATGGAGCCATCTGTCGACGATTTCCCTCCACCTTTGGCCAGTGGAGTGGTGTTGGATCAAAGATATGGTACCAGTGCTAAATCTTTGAGCGCGCTCATTTGCAAGGCGGGTTCGCCATTTATTCAAGAATTATTGACTTGCCTGAAGACAACCGAGTACTCAGAGGAGCCTTGGAAGAGAGCTAACAATGGCTGCATTGAAAGGGTTGTCTCTTACATGAAAGCAGCGACAAAAATTATCAAAGCTGTGAAAGCCAGTGAATCGCATACGTGCAGGAGGTTGGATGACAGGGGTTTTATTCTTGATATAAGCTGTTCTACTCCAGATGTACCATATGGTAGCAACTTTATGGTGAAGCTTCAGGTTGGTTCTTTCAAATATGCTGAGAGTTTCTGGTTCTTTGGTAAAAAAATTGCTTGTGTAATTTCCTTCAGAATAAGCATGAGTTCGTGTACGAAGTTAACAGATATTTGCAACGCTCACGTATATTTTGTTGATCCTAGTTTTGCATATTGGCGGGACAAGATCTACCGTCACAAGAAAAAACTTGTAGATTGCAAGTATCTTGGACACTCCATTTTTTACACTCTACAATGATGAAGGGAATGATTGAGAATGGTGCTCGCGCTGGTATCAAGGAAACTTACGAACTATACAGAGAGGTTTGTGCATGATACGTCGTCACTTCGCACATTCTACTCAAAATCTTTTTTTGGTTGGTGATTGCTGATCAACGTCTGGAGGTTCTTATCTAATTTTTATCCAGCAAGGATCCCTTGGCGCTATGTCTTTGTGCAAAGTTAACATTTACTTTTGTGCGGCCAAACAATCCTAATGTTTGTTGATTCAGACGTTTTCCGTTGTAACGAGATTCCGTATATCTCTTGAATGATTGCTAGGGCACGTGTACTGGTAACCTTTATTTTTATTTTCATATTGCTGTAATAAACGACGTTGAAAACACCCCTTGGCTCATCAAGTGTCTTCATTGTCTTTGGATCTTTCTCTCAAAGTTCCTCTGTGGTGCTCTTGCTGTTGTCCTCCATTGTTTAATCTTGTATTTTTATTTTTCATTTTTGAAATTGTAAACAATTTGTGGTTTTTACAGGTCTTATCGAGGTATGCCAAACCTATTTATGAGGGTCCACCAGGACGAGAGTTAGTGCCCGAAGCTAAGCGAGAAGAAGAAACTCCGCTGAGTGATTGGGAGTTAGTAAAAGGCTACTTTGGAAAGTTACATGTGCTGATGGCTATCTTATCGTTGACCGCTGTGTTTTTGCACATTGGCTTTGCATCTCCTAAAGCGAGCGCTACTCTAATACGATGGGGCTTCGATCTTCCCGATTCGTTATCGGAGTTTCTCTTTTCAGCCATAGTAGTTTTGCAAGTTGAGAAGGTTGTTAAGATGGTACACCAGTTTCTTCAAGCACGATATTGGCAATGTGAGTTAATATTTCTTCCAGCGTGCTCTATGGACAATTTTGTTTTGGATGATTTGCCAATGTAAACAGTAGGCGATTGAAAAAAGCTTTTTTGATTAGGATTGCCTCTTTTCCATTTTGTATCTTTATTTTCGAGCGAAAAAGAACAAGATAGAATGTACTCGAGTTTTCTACCCACCACGTTCTAGAGATTGGGCACAACCCTTGTTGGGGTGAGAGCTAATATGGTCTGCGGTTTCCTTAAATAACTTGGACGAATGAAGGACTGTTCTTTTTAACTTGAACGTGCTCAGCTTATCCATTGTTTGCCTTCGCAGCTGGAGATCATGGCGTCAAGGCTCAAGGCGATGGTTGGCTAATGACCGTGACCTTGATTGAAGGAGAGAACTTAAGTCCTACCGAAGAATGTAGTTTTTCCAATCCTTATGCTGTTTTTACTTGCAGTGGAAAGAGACGCACAAGCTCTGTGAAATTAAGAACCCTTAACCCACGTTGGCGTGGTACGTCACTTGCCACTTGTTTCATTGTTATACGTTTTTGTTTTGTTTTGTTTTGTTTTGGTTTGGTTTGTTTTGGTTTGTTTTGGTTTGTTTTTTTTTAAAAAAATATTCTTCTTGTGTTCTGGATGTAATTTCAGCAAATTTTTCTGTTCTTTTGGGAAAATTCCGGAACTCACTATAGGGTTTGCAACGATTCCAGAAGTTTTTGAGTTCGATGCTACTGAGGATCCTCCATCAACTATGGATGTTGAAGTCTTTGACTACGATGGTCCATTTTCTGATGCTGAATCACTTGGTCATGCGGAGATCAATTTCTTGAAGCAGAGTCCCGAGGATTTAGCTGATTTTTGGATCTCTTTATCTGGCAAATGTGCTCGGACACATGGGTCAAGGTTACATCTGCGAGTTTTTCTGACAAATACCAAGCAGTCTGATGCTCTACCTGAATATCTTGAGCGGGTTCAGAAGGAAGGGATTAAGGTAAATCTTCATTTTAACCTTATACCTCTGGATGAACTAGATAACATCATACAGTTGCGGACGACATTACTACATATGCTGTGCCTGTATATTCGCATCATAGGCGTTTTTCTGGATAACACCACATTATACAACCAGAATCATTTCAATTAAATGAAAACATAGCTTTAAGCCGGACATTTTTGTACAGGTTGTGAAGCGCTCTGCCCAGAAGAATGGGTCATTTCAGAAGCTGTTTGCGCTTCCAGCTGAAGAGTTTCTTATTAATGACTTTGCCTGTGCAATCAAGAAAAAAATTCTCATTCAGGTTCGTGGCTTATGCTCTTCATTATTCACGTGACTACGAACTTCTAACGGTTGATGAAAGTGAAGCTGTACATCAATCTGTGACTACCTATACCTTAGTGCCGTTGCTGTTTGTCTCGTTGGTCTGAGTGTCTGCTCTGTAGTATTCAGTGTTCGACAAATCCATGGTCAATGAGTTAGAATCTTTTTTTACTAGCTCTGTGCATTTCATAAACTCAGCAGGTGGGCATAGTTGCCCTAAGATTTTCTGCTCAATTTTTGTCTTGTTGCAGGGACGTCTGTTTCTGTCACCGAGGATGTTGGGCTTTTACTCGAATCTTTTTGGCATTAAAACCAAATTCCAGTTTATATGGGAAGATATCGATGATATCGTGGAGACGCCTGTAGCCATCAACCCCTGCATAGTCATGTTTTTGCGTAAGGGGCGAGGTCTTGATGCCCGAAATGGTATGAGAGGCATCGACGCGCACGGTCGTGCCAAGTTCTACTTTTGTTCATTTGTCAAGCCTGTTACAGCTTTCAGGTACGAGTCTTCGCTAAAATCTGAACATGCATACGTGGTGGTAACAACACGATGCCTCTGTAACTAGTGCCTGCACTGAGTTTTGCTGTGAGGCTTCTCTAAGCACTGTTTCGGTCTCATCGTGCTAGTGAGATTGTCGTATTTTTTGGGTCTCTTTCGTAAAAAAGAAGGAAACTTGTGAAGTTCCTTTTCATGGGTAGTTTGATATGAAACACATCACCGTATAGACATGCGTTTTTCACAAATTGCAGTACGTATCTTTGTCTAGTACTGTTGCTCCTGGATTATTAATGACGAGGTATTGCTGTGACCATCTAGAAGCCAAGATAGGTGGATTTTCTCTTCACGCAGAGCATTTTTTTTATAGAATACCAATATCTAAAAATTGGAACTCATTAGCGTTTGATCTTGGATGCTGACGAATTAATAGATTTTCTTTTACGCTTCGAGTTTCTAAAATCAAGGTTTCTACATCACCAGAACAATCACCGCTTTGTGGAAGAACAGGAAGTTGAGCTTAGAGCAGCAACTGGAACTTTGTGCTAATGTTGAAGCTGAAGATCAGACATGCACAGATTCTCAGAGGTCCGCAGATGACGCAGACACATTCACCGGGATGGAGGAGGCTAACATGGTTAATGTTTGTGCCTTCGACATTCCTCTAACGGTAGGTTTAAATCCTTTTTCCCACATAAATCTACTTTTAGATACTGCAGATTGCACTGGATTGTACTCAAAGCATCTAGTGGACGCTATTTCTAATCAGTGTACATATGTAGACATGCACCTCATGCGTGTTTTTCCTTCTTACAGATGGACAGTGCGATGTCACTCTTTGAAAAAGGAAGATTGGAAGAGGTCGTGGCAGAGAAAATGGGTTACATAAATTTTGTCAGTACACCTTGGGAGCGTCTAGAGGGTCAAAATAATGTCCAACGCAGACAGGTCAGCTACCATTTGAACAGACAAATTAGCCAATTCGGAAGTAAAGTTTCCTGCATTCAGCAAAAGACAATGCTTGACAACATGAAGTTATACATACTTGACGAAGTCCTCACCCTTCATGATGTCCCCTTTGGTGACCACTTTCAGGTACTCATTGTTTATTTTACTTCCAAGTTCATCTTGTGTATTTATATACGAAAATTTCCAAATAGATGGCAGCTATTTTTTGAGGGTGTAATTCATTAGCTATCTATGCTTTTTATGAGTCTGAACTCTCAATCTGAATGGCTTCATTTTTTTGCTATCACCCAATTAGCTATTTAATGAAACAATCAAAGAGGTATCTTTTAATTCATGTATGTGAACTTGCAAGTTCCTTTTTTACTCTTGAATAACAGAAAACGGCTTGAGTAGGAGATTCTCATCGTTCGTTACGTTTCAGTGAACCCGTGGTTGGCTAACGGAACTAACAACTTCATGTACTGCGCAGGTTCAAGTGAGGCGAGATATTGAAACCACTTCCATAAACCCACCGAAGAGCTCTGTGAAAGCATATGTGGGAGTGTCTTGGCACAAGAATACAGAGTTCAAGAAGAAGATCACCAAAAACGTACAGGATCACATGGCAAAAGAAATACGAGAGGCCATGAACGTGAGCGTGAAAGAGGTCAAGGCTCTTGTGAAGGACATGAGAAACTCAGCCAATGGTTCATGAGGTGGTTACAGGCTTCGACCATTTCGAACAAGGTTACAGCTGAAGTGACCAGGAGGTGGACGTCGAGGTCTTGTATTCCATGCCCACTGCGGTAGAAGCTAAAACCAAACATATTGCTGAATAGACAATGTCAAGCTCCTCTCGCAGGAGCTTCTATCTGCAGTAGTTGATAGTGAACGACACCTGAAGGAGCTCATCCATGGACTGGTGAAGGCACAGAACAATCAGGTCCTATTGATAACCCAGCTTTGCTTCTGCTCTTCAAAGCCAAACCAGACACAAATCTCTACCACAGCTTGACCCAAAACTGGGCTGTGGGGGTTTAGCTGCATATTTTTTCACTTGAGAGGGGCAAGTCATAAGACTTGGCTTTAGCGTTAAGCCTATTGTAAGCCCTCGAAGCAATCCAGGAGCTTGAAGCATTGTTTACAGCACCTGAAAGAAAGATTGAGATTTTTGATATTACAAGATTCTCATTGTTACATACGTTGGGGGGCTTGTTTGGTGTTAATTTTTTTAAGTGAAGTTATAGAGCTTAAGTTAAGACACCATTCGTATACAGCACAATGTCTTCAATCCTTTGAAACATAACTTTGAGATTTGTTTTCCTTCTCCTTCGTCTTCGTACTTTGTTTTTACGGTTATGGTTTAATGCGTGAAGTGATGGTCCTGGAAAGCCTGTTTCACGAACGACCAGTTGAGTGCATGGTTGATGCGGAACTTCCTTCCCCAGCTTGAAAACCCCGGTCGAGAATTCCTCGTCTACACCACCAGGAATGTTTGCGTCAGTGCCAGGAACACCACAAGACTGGAAACAGGAGCAACAAGAGAATAGCGGAACAAACTTAATTTTTTCTTCTGCAATGGTTTTCCCAGGAGGTGTTGCGGAGGAGCTTACCGGCATTGCAGCTTTGATAAGTTTGAACTGGTAGTTCGAAACAGAGGGAAACTGTCAACCCCAACAATTTTCTCACGTACATCAATTTTCAATTCTAATATATTTTTTTTACAGAGGCAGTTCTTGTTTCTTTGATTTCTTCGAAGAAATATACGAGGTCATTTTCTCATTAATATATTTACATATGCACATTGTAGCTTGTAGTCTATTTCATGTTGGTGTGCAGAACTTTCACTTGTGTGAGCAGTTATGTGGACAGATGCATGGAGTGAGCATTATGATTTTCAGCATCGCAGAAGGAAAAAGCTCCTCCTGAGCTCTTTCTTTGAAGCATTCTCGGGAGGTTCAAACCAACACTACCTGCTAGAATGGGCGCACAGAGCAGGATGGAACTTGGGATTTCACTTACATTCCACAGCATGATTGTCCAGATGACGGTTTCGGAGCACGGTGGGGTAGTGAGAGAGCCTCGGTATCGACCGTAGTTTGGCTCAACCTTCGGTAAAGTGATTGGCTGGATTTTTAATCTTCTATATGGGTTCTTGTGCGTTGGCAGCTTGTCTAGGAACTGCCAAACTAGTGGATTGGTTTCATTTAGCAGGGGTCTGTTCAAAAGCAGACCGTCAAAATACATCAAACCAGCCAGAAAACAGTGCCATCTTAACATGGATGAAAGCTAAAAGTTTGTGTTAAATTACCTGAGCTAAGAATGCGTCTTATGCATTCAAATCCTCTCGGACTTTGTGTGATGGAATTCATGGAGAGTAGTCACCTTAAAATCATGGTCGTCGTGCACAATGGTAACATCAACTGGCTCCGAAGTGTAATTAGCTTTTAAGTCCCCCAAAGTAGGATCGGTGACCATGAGAGTTGGAAGGATGGCCAAAGGCGACTGCTGATTACCTGCTTTACACAGCGCCCACTCTGGATTCAGCTCACCCCAGTGGCTCGGTCCATTTGGACCATCACCGTAGTCAAATGTAGCTGCACATTCTCCAGGGTTCACATATTCAGTTGCATACATTCAGTCACGAGCAGATTTCGAATGGTTTAGCATGTGTTGGTCAATACCAGAAGCACTACAAAACGACGCGATATTTAATTCCCGCGTCCATGAAATCGCAATGAATACAATTCATAAGAAAAAGAACTTTCACGAGAACTCCACCAGACGGTGCAGGTCCCAGTGGCTGGAAAATCAAATCTGCATGTGGTTGCGATGACGAGTTCCTCGATCCGACCAGACCGGGGATGAGGGGCAAAAGCTTTGGCAGCATCATGGGCGCTTCAACATGAGCCCCGATCTGAACAAGTGAAGAATGCCTCGTCGAGGCATCCACAGTCTGGAACACCAGAAACTGAAGAAATGACAATGCAGTCGCAATCACCCACAAGTAGTAGCAGTGCATCATCACACACTTCTCCGTTTCTCGAATTCCAATCTCGAATGCGCACGGTTGACCAGTTTCACGGACCAAGATACTGTTTGAAGCTTACCATCGAGACTTATCCTAGATGCACAAGCAAGCTTTCACCACAATACCAGTCGCCGGAAACAAACCTGATTTACAACCTTATGCTCAGTTTGGGTTTCAGGCCCAAAAACTTTCCACACACTAACATGGGAGTGTAACCCACAATGGAACCAGGTTAGAAAGGGGGTGAAGATTACAGTGGCAGTTAAGAAATAACAGAAGCCAAGCAGTTGATGCAGTTGTGGAGGGTGGGACTGATCCATCCATCAACCAGCAGCAGTCCTCTTTGGTGCTGGCATTCTGGAATTGGTGATTGAGGTGCCCCACATCACCTGCTGCTGCTGCTGCTGCCCCATCTAGATTGTTTCTCTTGCTTCCTCGCGCTCTTTGCATCTATTTGAAGCTCTGGATCGATGTGTCGGTGACCACAGGAAGCATGCATCGTGGTATTGTTGTGGAAACCTTGATTTGTTCTGTTGCGAAAATGGTGAAAGAACTCGATGATTATGAGACTGGCTTGCATACTCCCCTTTTCCTTATGTTTTCATCAACTTTGGGCTTCTTTGTTTTAGTTTATTTTATTTTATTTTATTTTTGACATGTTTGTTGTATTGTGTTTTTGTCGTGCAGAATGTGAAGAATCGAAAAAAAAGTTTAAATGTTTGATTGCTTAGTTGCAATAGTAGTCAAATCACCTAAATATTTTTGTGTACATGTTTTGTTCACTTTTTTAATAGTCATTTTTTGATATCAGATTACATGTATAATGAAATTTTCATGTTTGTGTACTTTTTGTGTATTCAGTGGACACAATTTGTATATATGTATCTATATACATGTACACACACCCAATGTTACTTTATGTGGACAAGATATAGGTATTTCATGTAAAATTGAATTTGATTTTATCCACTAGGAATATTAATTTACATCCAATATGAGTTCTCACTGTGATAAGATTATGTTCTAATATATCTTTTATAATGTTACTAACTATGTAAACTTTTTGATTCTTTAGGGATTTTTGAAAAATTACATAATTTAATTAATATTTAATTCTTTGATATAAAAATCTTTTTTTTTCTTTTTTTTCTATTTTTTAAAATACTTCATACATCAATTTTCAAAGAAATATATATATAACACTTACACACACATTATACAAACAAAAATAAATAATATTGATTACAAAATAAAAATAGCAATCAATGTGTAATTATTTTTAATTCCTACTAGCTACTGTTTATATAATATATTTTTGACCAAATTGATATCAAAAAATTATATATTCCAAGTCAATAAATTAATACTTTTCTAAAAAAACCATCATCTGCCTAAATTTTTTTTTTTTTTTCCAAAATTACAAATAATTAACCTAAAATACTATTTTTATTTTGTATAATGTGCCAAATAATTAGCACTTATATTTTTAAAATAAAATATTTTACTTTAAATAACATCAGAGTACAACAAAATTTATCAAGAATAAGTGTCAAGTCAAAACAAACAGTTTTATTTATTGTCTCTTATTTATACAATAGAAATTAAAACTTTGAATGCCCTATATTTTTAGAGCTGTTAAATCATATTTTGGAATGAAATTAGAATGATAAATTACAAATTCTTTGAAAATAAAACCAAAAATACATCACATTTATTTTCTAATCACAATTTTTACTACAATAAGTTGAAATCACTACTCTGAACCTTGAATCTGGTTTCAAAATTACAATCAACCCTGCTACATATTAATATTTTATAAATACCTATTTTCATTGACAATTTAATTTCAAATTGTAACAATAGACTTGATATTACATACAACAATATTAGTGTAATTTAAAGAAAAAATCATTTAATTAAAACCTTAATCGTGAATCATATCAATAATTTATTTTTCCATTTTTAATTAGGTTAAATATTCAAAAAAATTAAAATTATATATATATATATACATACATATATATATATATATATATATATATATGAAGAATAAATGATAAATTATGTGAAAAAAATAATTTTAAATTTAAAAAAATATATATAATGGTACTTATGGTTTGATTCAACTACAATCTTATTTTTAATTTATTTTTAAATAAAATTAAATAACTCAATATAATGATTCTAAACACAAGTTTCAAAAAAGAAAAATATACATGTATTAAAGTATTGATTAAATTTGTATGTTTTGTTCAAAATATATATATCCAAAAAATGACCTACTATATAAATATCTACAAGCCTAGTTTATTTTTGCTTGAATAATTTATGCATAATTTGTACAATAACATGCATTTTTTTAAAGCTTTAGTATCTTCTTTTAAAGAAATGTTATTTTTTGATACAATCAAAGTGAATTGACCTATAGAAAAAATATAGTGTGTACTTACTGCGTAAATATTCCAACATATTAGTCATAATTATACATAGATTTTAAGCAATTTTTTCATCATTATCTATATTTATTAATATATTTTTATAATTACATATATATATATATATATATATATATATTCATTTCAATTAAATTCAATACACTCTAGCAAGAACATGTCAAAATTACTATCATTTTCAAAGACACAAATTTGCATTACAATATAATTATTCAACCTATATTGTGAATATTCTCAATATGTCAAAAGCATCACTTTTATGAAATTTTTCATATATAGGCATAAAAAACAAGTATAGAGTTTAATACTAATTGAATGCATATCAAGCACCTTAATTAATGTTTTTTTTTTTTTTTTTTTTTTTTTTAATATTCAATGTGATGAATATAACAATTAGAAGAGAAAAAAAGTGCAATTAGTTAGATATGAATATGCCACTTTAAATTAGGGCTTTTTAGCTAAAAATCCGAATTTTTCTAAAATAAGATATGAGAGATGTTTTAAAATAAGGCCTCAATATTATTCTTCCACATGGTTGGAGAAGCACCTTATGATGCAATTTACAATTATAGCAATCACATTGAAGTATGCACATCAAATTCACAATAGTGAAGGAGCTATAGATTCTTTTGAACAAAGTTTGACCTTATACCAAACCCACAAGATGAAAACAAAGATTAAGTTGTCTTAGCATACTAATTTTTCTATGAGAAGCTTGGTTGCAAAGAAGTCAATTTTATAAGGCGTAGGTAAAAGCAGATGATAAATAGAAAAAAAAAAATTAATTTTTTTTTACATTGACAACATCATGGTGCATATAAGTCATAGTATGCCAAAGCATGGACAGTATACAACACCTTTTTTGATGCCTTAAAGAAGCAATTCTTTGACCAAGTAAATTTCAAAAATGCCCTCTTAATTCATTGCAACACTAAGTAGGCATTCACGTTTACAATCAATTGAGATATTATGGACATAGTTATTAGTGACATATTGTTTAATGTCGATGATAAGAAAATTTATGCTGATATGTGAATAGACATTATCAAATTTTAAGCTATTTAAAGATGCAAATAATAGCTAGATTGAGCATAATAGACAACAAGATCAGAACCACAAATCATATAAGGTAGAGATTAAATCTTTGCATTTTTTTTATTTCGTAATTAGCTTTGTTTCATGCAAAGTTGTATTTCAAATGGTGGCACATCTCGTGGATGTCACCAAAATCGTGTTGCTCATAAGCTACTTCAATGGATGTAGTAAAAATTATATAGCTTTGTTCATGAAGGTGATTTATGCTAAGAGCTTATAAAAGATCATAGAGTTCTTTTATATCCAATGGGCATTTTTTCTTGCTCATGATGTTAGCTCAAAGTAAGATACATTGTACCATGACTTTTGAATTCAATTCAAGTATCAATCTAAAGTGCACAATCTCCATCTTTTTGCTATTCTTTATTTTGATTGCAAGACAATTGAAGTAATCTTTGCTATGGATTTAAAACTTCAAAATATTATTGCTCCAAAAATAAAAGATACAACTTGTTGGAATTAGCATGAATACCAAGTAGACAATAATAAGGCGGCTTTTTGGCATTGCAATAAAGATGGTCAAGGTGGCTACTAATAGAGTTGTACAAATGTAGTATGCTCTACATCAACTTGATCTTGTGGTTAATGCCAAGTCTTAAAGACAAAAACTCAAAGAAGATATATAAACAATTGAAATAAATATTAAAGAAAGATGACAAAATAATAATAGAAAATATGTATATTCAAGAAGAAATTGGAATGACTATTATCAATGACTAAAAATCTAGAGACTCTTGAAAGTAGTCTAGAAGAAAAAAAAGAGTTGAAAAGAGTAGAAAAGGCTTTATTCTTGCCTTCATACATACTATATAATTAAAAGCTACATGGTCATATTACGTGAAGTTTGCTTGAAAATCCATTAGACACTTGCTTATGGAAGGAAAAATAGAACTTGCAATAAGATGACTTTAAAAACTTTAATTAAAACTTAAATAAACTCTAATTAAATTATAACAATACTAATAAATTATTAATTAAATCCAAAAGAAATCTCAAGAACTTACAAAAGAAACATAAAAAATAATAAATTAATATTAATAAAATATATAAAGATATAATATAAAAATATTTTTAAAATATAAAAAATAGATATCATAATTGAATCCTAATAAAATCTTAAACCAATTTTAACCAAACCTTAAATCAAATCTTAATAAAATCCTAATAAAATCCTATTCAAATCCTAAACAAATTTTAGACAAATCTTAATCAAATCCTAATCAAATCTTAAATAAATTCTAATAAAATCCTAATAAAATCCTATCCAAATTTTAATCAAATTTTAATCAAATCTTAAATACTAACCAAATTCTAGAAATTTTTTAAATCCTAATCAAATTTCAAATCAAGTTTTAATCAAATTCTAATTAAATCCTAGAAAAATCCTAATTAAACCTTAATAAAATCCTAAATCCTAAATAAATCCTAAATAAATCTTAATCAAATCTTAAATCCTAATCAAATTCTAAGTTTTAATCAAATCCTCAAAAAATCCTAATAAAATCATAAATCCTAATCTTTGATCAAATCTTAAATCAAATCTTAATCAAATCCTAATCAAATCATAGATCCTAAACCAATCTTAATTAATCTTTAATCAAATTCCAAATCTTAAATAAATTCTTAATAAATCCTAAAGCATATTAAAAATTCAATAGATAATATTTAAACTATTGATTTTGACTCAAATTTTGCAAACTTTGTAATAATTGAATTAGCGATAGGTACAAAATATTTGAAGAAGTTTGCATATATCAATTAGAAGAAAAGCTCTCAAAAACTTTTAGCTATTGATTGCCCTTCTTTTTTAACTTGAACATTAATCTTTCAACAAAGATTTTTCCTTGTTGAACTATTCAATTGCTCCAAAATTTAGATTGAGTATAAATATTTAAGTCTAAATTGCTCTCACCAATTTTTGCTTCAATCAAATTAATAGATATTGCCAAATTACAAATTCCCTCATTGACCTTAAATCTCAATAATCTAAGACTATAATCCTTAAAAACTCTTATACTCTTCAATCTAACTATCCCATTGATTTCAAATTTCTCACATTTGCAACAAGTACAAAAAAAAGACTTCCAAATTTTTACTTCTACACATATTATAAATCTCAAAAAAAACCTTCAAATATATTAACATATTTTTATTTCTC